CGTGTGTGCATGTGAGAGTGAGGCAGAGTGAGGCTGGTGGTAGAGACAATGTTCGGCGGCCATAGCCGCAAGTTGTACAGTTGATCTGAACAAAGTTTAAGAGCAAGTTCGTTGTTGATTCTGAGTTCACGAGTTTGGTTTGCCATCGGTTCTCATGTATGCATGTTGTGAGCAAGTCCAGAGTCGAGTCTGATAACTACTCTATCCTAAGGTTAACCGGCCAGAAGGGACAGGCCGACTTTCTCAGTCGGTGAATCTGAAATACGTCACACATGGGGCCGTGGTGATCAAATGGATGCTGCGACCTAGATCAGTTGGTTTAGCACGTAAGTGGTACACAGGTGGCCGTGGGTTGGCCTTCCCTTCTTGAGTTCTGAAATGTCTAAATCTACAACACATAAATCTGTGCATTATGCAAGGCCTTCTCTTTTTTTTTTTTTCCAAAAAAAAATTCCAAAAAAAAAAAAAGATGCAATGAACTAAGTTTAGATCCACATTGCCACGGGCATGGGTCGTAACTTTTGGTCAAAAGTGCTGAAACAGGGGTCAAAAGTAACGCCCCAAGTCTGAGAAATGCCCCGGAAAGTACCTAGGGTCAAGGGGTACGCAGGGCTGAGTCAGAATCAGCAGCCAGAGGACCCATGTGAGTTAGTTGACTCTTGGAAAATCAAGAGTCAGACCAAGCACGGGAAAAGCAGGCCCATAGTCAAAGTCAACCCAGTAGTCAGCCTCGGCCAAAGATCAGATGCACATCAATTGTCTGCAGGATCCGGAAGATTCCAGTCCCGACTGGGAAAAGGTACTGCTGCTTCAAGGCTGCATCCAGGCCATCGAGATCGGGCAAATCTGAAGCGTTGACACTGCCAAAGGGAAGACTGGTCAACGCTACAAAAGGTCAGTCCGACCACAGGGGAGGGCATTCTGCCTTGGACTGACGTGAGGCTGCTGGAGTGTGATGCTGGTGCTTGAAACTACTGGAGGGTGCCAGCTTAGAGGGAGAGTATGTTGGCACGGTCATAGCCGCCATGGCTGTGGACTAGGTGCTGGAGATTGGCGAGGAGGAGGAGGATCAGGGCTGTGGGACTGACGAGAGATGAGGGGAAGCTTACCTGGACTTACCTGGCGTCGACACGAGTGAACTGCTGCTCGTCTCCACGAAGGTGAGGAAGTGCTGCACCTACCTCTTGTTAATTTATCACAAGCTAATATAAGTAAACCTTGTAGACGCTGTTTGATGTTGGGGTTGGTAGGTCCAGAGTACCAGCATACTAGGGCAATCCAAGAGAAACAATTTGTATCATATTCGACTCTTTCCTCCTTACCCATCAACGAAGTGTTACGTTGAAAGTCATCCTCCATAACTTAGTGCTGACGTGGAGGGAGGATGGGCGCCCTGTGATGATCTGCACAGTGATTATGTCAGAGGACGTCAGAGGGAACATGCATTGCTGAGGTGGAAGTGGGAGTGGAGGGGAGAGAGAGACATATATGTACTATTGATTATTATTGAGACTCTCCTCCTCCTCTTCTCTGTCTTTCCCCTCCTCTTTCTCTCCTCGCATGCTCTTCTTTGATGAGATGATGCTCTTGAATTGTGTATATGATCGAGATATGAGGTTGTAATTGTTTTTTGGAGACTTCATGAGGTGCGCTGGGTTCAGACTTCTATTGCATTGCGGACTAGCTTCTCAACGAGTGTAGCATATCAGAAAGTGAAATGCACTAACAGCCTAGGATCTAGCAATGATGAAAGTGGCAACAACCAGCAGCATAGATGCAACATTCACCAGATGTCAATGTGCACAATGCAACAAGTAAACCAGCGAGAAAAACAACAACAACACATTTGCATCATCATCATCATGGGCTGGGGAACAGCGCAGCGGAATAATAGTAACCAAGAGGACACGTGGACAACA